ACATTTCAGTTCACAAATCATTTGTGGATAGACTGCAAAATCTTCTAGGGAGCTACTGCAATCTCACCAGTCAATACAGGACAGTGGTGGCTCTTTTTGATGCAAAAACAAAAAAAAAAAAAAAAGAAAAAAAAAGAAAAAGAAAAAGCTGTTCAGACGATGAGGGACTGGTTTTGTTTTGTTTACATAGATGGATGGATGGATGGATGGATGGATGGATGGATGGATGGATGGATGGATGGATGTAGAGACAGACAGACAGATAGATAAATGGTGATTAATCAAAGCTGCTGAATAACCTGTATGTTGATGTGTTTTAAAAGCCTGATGAAATATTCACTTTCTGCACATGCATTGAAAATTAAATCTCATGACATATGCGTGCTATACGCTTTATACATCAAAACACAAACACAGACAGTTTGGCTGAAAGAAAAGTGGTGTTAATGAAGCAGTTAGATCTAAAAGAAAGTATTTCTTTGAAATGTTATTGTCAGATAAGGTTTTATTCTAGGGGAATGTTGCCTGCTTTGAAATCACAGGTCTAGTGAATCGTAATGGCAAGGCTGACAAACACATAGCACTCCCTATGCAGAAACCATGGTGATGGTCACCTTATACATATGAATAAGTAAATAAAATATATTACCGTAACAACATCTAGACTTCCAAAATATAAGGGTGACACAGAAAAATTGGCTAATCAAGATTTTGGAAAAGTAAGGATTTTTTTTATAGATGTGTGTTTTATGAGGAATCAAAAGCTTTGAAGTTTAAAAGGTTTTAAAGCTTTGATGTATGGAGAACTAAGTAGAGAAAAATAATGCTCCAATGGCTATAATAATTAAAACAATCATAAGAACAAATGAATAATACTAAATAGATCAACTTACTTTTGATGTAGGTCAAAATACTCAGATACTTGCACTAAACAGGTTTAAGGATTATAAATGTTTATTATGGTCCAATTCTTCTAGAATGGCTACAGTTTTACTACTATTTTATTAAAAAATGTTAATGAGTTCCTAGCAGTTCCTGTAGCTTCCTACAATACCTCAGACTAGAAAGAGAAATTTCTGTGATAATGCACAAAAGGAGTCTGCAGGTAAGAAGTATATAATGGTTGTTGATTTTTCATATCCATTTGGTTTGATTTTTGTCCCAGCATTGAACCTTCTGCAGCTTTGACCTTAGCTAAGCTGGTGCTCTCTCTCAGACACAAGCACAGCACGGCATGGCAACCTGAAACCTGGGTGCCTTTACTGATGCCTGAATTGCGTACGAATGCGTCACACCGTGATTTCAAGACAGTGGAGGAGACACTAACTAGATTAAATCCCTAGGAATGATTTACCACAACAATTTCACCAGTCCTTCTCTGTGCAAGCAGGGCAGGAGGTAGTGGAGGATGCCCGAGGACCCTGCTTCAGCCTGTGTAAGCTGCACTCCCCTCTCAGCCCTGCCTGCCTCCTGCCCTCCCACCCCAGGGTGAAAGGGGGGTGCCACGCCGCGCAAATTCAGTCAGGTTGCCAATGTACCCGTTCACATTCTGAGTCTCGGTGCAATGCTCCATGACAACAAGGTGAGACGGCAGAGGTTACCCGACCAGCTGCTTCCAAAGCCAGAAATTCCAGGCATTGAAAACCATCTGTCTATACATTCACAAATGTATATAAGGGCAATCTATCAGGCTGCAGCACTGCAGCTGCCACTCCATCAGGCCTGCTTCCTTTCTCCAGGCTGAACAATAAGAGCTAGTTCTTCACTTTGTGTCACACAGAATGGCTGATTTGATTAAGTCCCCAACTCTCATTATGCTAGGTAGGGGTGTAGAATTTCAATGATAATCCATAATGCATGACCAGTTTGTTGCCATGGCAACATAAATTCAAGGTTACTAGCTCAGACGCATAATTGGGTGTGCATTGAGTGCTGAAGAAGGGCTGTTAAAATTCTTGTCATAGAAGAGTAGCATCCATCATACTGTCTGAAATTGCAAAGTACTCATAATCAGAAAGAAAAATCCTTGGAGAAAAATGTTAATAAAATAACGATTACATCTAATATAATTGTTTAAGTTTAAAAAACCAAAGTGGTTCAAGTATTTTAGCTAATAAGAATGGAAAAGGCAACTCATTAACCACAGAAGACTTTAGTTGAACATTCCCCACCCCCCAGTATTTGCATTGTAAGATGGACCCAAAGCAGTTCAGCTCTGAATCTGACTGATTAGCTCAGGATCTAATCCATATGATACAGTAAAAGATGACGCTTCGCATGCAGACGGCACAGTCTTATAGGCATCGTTTGTCCAGTTTGATCTTTTGTGGGTAAACATATCTTCAAAATTAGCTGCACTAAGGATAAGAGGACTTTTGCAGGATATTTTTGTTTTTTTTGGTTGTTTTTTTATTATTTATTTTTTATATATTGCCCTGAATTATTGCACTATACAGCAGCCATTTTAACTACCCAAGATGAAATAGGTAAGGTCAAATTGAACAGATGGAAACAAGACATTTAAAATCAGACTGAGAAAATCTCTAGCATGTATATAGTAAGGAGTGATCTTACTCCAGCAGATGGATGGAATAGATGACCTAGAAAGGCTTCTATTTTTTTTTTTCTTCTCTTTCTTTCTCATTTCTATTGCATTTGTGACTGCAAGATACCTGAAACCTGGCATTCACTGTATGATTTTATTGTGGGGAGGGGATTCTTTTTTTGTTTTTTAAAAATATTCTGATAAACATGTTTTCTGTATTCCTATAATATTAGCAAGAGAGATATGACATTTGCATTACTTATTCCCAAACAAGTCTTGTTTTGGTGACCATCTTTGTTAGCAAGGAAGAATAGGCAAATCAGATTTTACATGAGCACTTCCAAGATGTCAGGAGCTTAAACCTAGCATGTCATTACATGAAGAAAGATCATTACTAAATTAATATTTTCCTCAGCTCCAACCCCATTTTCCTTGATATTGCCTATCTTGTATGTATCTGTTTTATAGCCTTGGTGAATTCTAGCTGATGTGCTTCAGCATATGGTTTTATTTATTAGGATTTCTAGTGAAATTTGACATTATTTCAACGTATGTTTCTGTAAAAATATTAAGAGAGTTTCTTCAAAGGAATGAAACCTCAGTTTATACCTTTTGAGTCAAATCTGCCACTTGTTTCTGGGGCTGAGCTTTTATCTAATTCTGTTGGAGATGCTTATGATTTGCTGGGTGAATTGCTTAAATGTAACAATAGAAAATTCCCATTATGTGGAAGTGGAAAGGCTCAGTAAAGAAATGATTATTCTGGCATGAATTTTCTGCAAAGATTAAACTAATCTGCTTGGGCTTTCCAGATTTCAGATTGCACTGTTTTCTAATCTACTCTGCATTTACATTTTGCAAACAGAAATTGTAGGGAACTTAGTGTAAATATAATTAAAACTGTGAAATTATAGCGAATTTTTAAAGAATGTTTGAAAATGCATTTGGTGTTGGCTATTTTTTTCTACTTTTTGTGGGTTTATTTCTAAGAGTACTGTATTTTGAGAACTGATTATTTTTATTAACAAAATCGCATTATTTTTATGAGGTTAGAAAATATGGACACTAACTTGTAGTTTTTAAAAAATATTTTTTTGTGCTGAACCGTACAGATTCTTTTCTGAACAAATGAGCCTAAGTAAGTCAGGCACTCTTGTCACCATTTCAAAATTGTTCAGATCTGCAACTAATTTCCACTATAGGAAAATGTGCTGGATCATAAGCCTATTGGTACTTTGTAGGCAAGCAGAATTTTTCACGAGTGACAAACGGCAAGATCAGATCCTACAGGAATGGACGCTCTGGTTGTATCATACTGAATTCATTTTCCTCTGTGTGTAAGACCTGGTTTTGCACATAAGAACATATATTACTGTTCAATATCAGGATAGGACTGTATGTTCAATGATGTGTTTTATTTCAACACAGCCTCGCTTAATATGAAGCTTGCAAATATCACATCTGGAGGTGTATTCTCCTTTTGATGTGCACATGTAATTCCAATTAACATTAAGAATGTTAATGAGAATATGCCCCTCTAGGGGCTAGAGAGGGGGAGGTGAGGGAGCAGGTTTGTAGTTCTGATTTAAATAACAAGTGACTTTTGTGGAGAATACCAGCATGTGGTCTCATGCACTTATATTGTTGAAATGCAGTGGCTCTGAATGAGAGCACACGATTTATACATTGATGCTCAGTGATGCTTAGCCAAGTGAACCCGTTGTTGGGGGCAAATATTAAATCCCAATGTGCCTTCTCCAGGAAGGAGTATTTTCCAAAATGTTTAGTTCTCTGTTTGTGCACAGGCATAAAAGACTGCTGAGAGAGAGTGGGCCATGGTTTTGTGAATTAGTTTTCCTTAAAGACTAGCTTAATTTGAAGGAGCAAAACATTTAAGTACTTGTTGTTTCTCAAGTATGCAGAATGTATAAAATAACTTTCAAGACCTTCAGCATCAATGTGCTCCTATGCTTTGATTAATTTACATGCGGTTCTTTTAGTGTTCCAAGGAAGTACTTTTAATATCAGATTTCAAAACAAAAATATCCAGCTAAAAATGGCTATTAAATCATTATCTTTTGTTTGAAAGTGTGATGTCACTGGTGATATTCTGATGAATCCTGTCTAAGCAGAAAGTGAGAGCAACTATAGCACTTCCATTTTTGAAAACAGAAGGTAACAGCTTGTGAAGTGGTTTTAAGGCAAGAAAGTATGGAATATATATCTTATAATTGCAAGCAAATGCATTTAATAGATTAAATGGCATTACAATTTCACTTTAACAGATGAAAACAGAGTCAGTGTTTATATGTAAAACGTATTTTCCCATGTTATTTAGCCAGAGAATAAGACCATAGAGGAGAAAACAAGGATATCAAGTTAAATGGCTATGGGGAAAAGAAAATAGAAAAAAACAAGACAAAAGCCTTTCCTGTTTTAAGAAATTATATATCTTTTCTATTATATTTTTTTCTGGTAATGACTATTGCAAGATGTAAAAATGACCAAGAAATAACAAGGCATATCACTGTTTGATGCCCCACCGAACTCTTTTGTTATCAGTGACAGAAAAAATACCCCAAACAATATAATTTATCTGTTTTGCCAAGTCTTTCTGTATAAACTTTCTGCATGCCTTTTCAATTTACACATAGAGAAGTGCTGCTCATTTCATTGATCTGACACGTCACATTTCATTGTGTGGATTTCAATGCAAGTGCTATCGTAGGATGTGCAACATTCAGGCATCAGGATACATTAAAAATGTAAAGTGAAAATGTCTGTTTTATAGATATTTTTTACCATGACTTTTTTTGGTCAAACAGTTGAAAGCTGTTATTTGAATAGCTATCTTGTACATTTTAGCTGCTGGCTTTGGTACTTGTAAAATATATATTTTGCAAGCACGCAGTGGTATACTTGAAATTATAAAACACCATGGACCTTGATGTTTTAACTTATTTAAGGACTGATCATATAATCTTGGTTACATGGGTAACATAATACGATTATTATAGACAGTAAGAAATTTCCCTGTGCTTAGGGAGTATTGTCCAAGACTTAGAATTTTCCTCTCCCATCTCATCAAGTAGTTCTGCATGAAATCTGGGGGTTTTAATGAGAAAATTATGTTGCACAAACTGGAGTCAATGTTTATACAGTCCCATCTCTTGGCATGGAAAGCCTGCATGTATGCAAGATAAAAAGAGGTGGGAATATAAGAAGACATGATGGGAAAACCAGGACTGTTATTAACAGATTCAGGTGAGTGATCAGTTTAGGAAAAGCAAGGCTAGAGCAAGTTTTTAAGCAGATGTTTTCACCCCATTAATCTATTTCTTCAAGTTTGAAAAAGAGAAAAGTGTTCAGCTGCAACATTTCCATGCATTTATTTCATGGCAGCTGGGGAACAAGCTATGAAGAAAAGATCAGTGGTTAAATCAGATGAACAGAATAAAGAAAACAAAATTAAATTAAACAGGTTAGAGAGGAGGACACAGGAACAACACAGATGGCACAATGACCAAAACACCAAGCCTAATAGTTGGTTAAATCTTTGTCTACCCCGTATTGAGAAGGCAAACACTTGACTAGCACGAACCAGGAAACAGGCTGCTCTCAGTTCTCACAATCCAAGGAAATTTCATTAAAGTCTATAGAGTCATTACAGAAAAAATCAGAATTTGTCTGTCTGGTTCTATCAATCAGCCACATTAACTTGATTTCATTAGTCACAGAAATTATTAATTATGTATCTCTGTAGAAAACCAGGAACAGAAACATTCTCAGAAAACCAGTGAAGAAACGTGAAGTGTTTAAAAAATCAAGACAAGTGACAATTATCCATTAAAATTTGAGCAGCTCTTCTATTACCGATTTCTGATAAGAAATACACACAAAGCAGTCTTTCACCATATTTCAGAGGCTAAAAAAATAAAAAAAAAAAAAGTAAATTATTAGGGAAATTAATAAATATGAGAACGTTCAGGGTAGTACACCAGGATTTCCTTTCATTCAAAATCACAACCCTGAAGACAACAGCTTTTTACTGAATCAGTTGCAGCCAGAAATTTTAAAAATAACAGGAGGAAGATGTGGTACTTTTACAAACTTACAAACTTCATGGCCTCTCAGTCTGATTATAAGAACACAGACCTGTAGATCTGAATGTGCTTCTGTTGTCAGCTTGCCTCAGATTTGTCCTAGTATATCACTTTTCTGGAACTATTTCATTGTTTCACAATGCTCTGCAATTCTCTGCTGAATGAGAAAAAAGCATGGCAAGGATGAAATCCTCTGACCTGTGGTCTGCAGGAGGTCATGTTGGTTGATCATAATCTATCAAAACAGTAAATGTACCACACATTCTTTAGGTGTTTCAAGGATCAGCGGCAATGTGATATCCAAAAATTTACAGTAGTACCTTGTGTGCTGTGAAACAATCAGCTCCTCGCAATATTGAACTTGTCATGGGGTGGCTGAAATGGGTCAGTAAGTTAAATACTATATCCTCAGAAGCTCCAAAAAAAAAACAGAATAACTGTTTCTGCTCCTAAAGGAAACACTAGTAGCCTAACTTTACTGTTTGGGGGATCAAGAAGGGAGGGACATATCTTCTCATTTTGTTTAAACCTTTTCAAAGTGTCTTCTAAGTTTAAAATCTGTGGTATATTCAACAGAAGTACCAATGCTATTGAAGCAGTCCTGTATTTGATCCCCTCTACAGTCCATTGCTGCTGCTAGCGGTAGTGTTCAGGAAAAGAAAGGCAAGCCTAAAATAGATTTCCTATCAAAACTGCTTTCCTATCTGTTCAACTGCTTCAGTTAAGAATGTGATTTATTTTTAAACATTATGCACAGACCATTTGAACTTTTGGTGTAGGTAGAACCATGTCATTATATGTATGATAATACCAGTATAGCTTGTTGATTTCCCTTTCTGCACATTTCTGCACTGGAATCAAGTATCTTGATATAATCACTTTATATCATTATAGCTGAGTTTGAAAAGTGGAAGATGGGATATGACTTGCAGTTTTACTACTTTAAATTAACCTGCATATTTAAAGCAATACAAACTATGTTTAAACAGGGCTTCAGGCCTTGGGGAATTATAAATATGAGTAATTTACTGTGTCTTTTGTGTAAATTGTTCCAAGAGCAAACCCCGGTCCTTGCCCAAACCCCTAATTAATGAAAACCAACTAACTCTGATTATCATGTAGGACACAGCAAATGTATAGAAGGGATTCTACTCGGATTTTAGCTAATGTGATATAGCACCTATAACCTTGGTTTCCCCTTGCTGAGCTAAAGCAAAGGTGTTTCATCATAATGGGAATTATTCCCAAGTCAATTTTCACAAGATTTTTCTCTTTCTCTTTTCAATCCATATGATCACAGTTAGATTTAACAATGAGGAAAAAAAATGACTTTGATTTACCATGAGTACATTTTATTATTTTCTTACACAGAAGTGACTGAAAAAATTTTGTTCTGCCTTTACAACAATCAAGTGCTGTTCTGCAGAGAAAAAGTGGGGAGATGTTACACTGAAGAGACAGATGCTTTAAAAGTTTTGCACATGACAATGTAATTAAATTGGAATGAAAATAATAACACAGCATTTGAATAAAAATACATATCCCAAAGCACTTCACAAGTAAATCAATATCATTATAAGCGTTTGATTGTTGCTTACTTTAGCAGGAATGGTTTAGGAATGGAAAATAGTTTAGTGTAGACTCTCTCACTTTGTGGCAGTTCTACAAAAGTGACAGTTAGTATAGAGCATCCTGGCACATGCAAAGCCTGGCCAATGCTAAATTTCATCTCCAGCTGCACAGAAATATTGATGTTATTTTCAGCGGGTTTGTCTAGTAGTGTAAACATTAGAAACCAGAATAAAATACTGACAGGTTACCAGCATTCAGCTTATTTTCATCAATAAGTCACTCCAAGGTCTAGATGTAGTATTCAAGTCTCCTTGAAGGTGTGAGATGTGGAGATGGGATGGGGGGACGGGTATGTACACTCTGAAAGACTGGATCATTAATGAGCAGAACATAAGAAATTATATAGGGAAAAGGAAGCCAGCTTTTCATACTAACATCAGTATTCTTACCCTACAGAAAGCTTCCATTAGATGATATTTAACTCAGATAATTACCCTTCTAGCTGACATTATCCATAGGAAATCACAATTTCACTATGCCAAAAAGAAGCTAAATGGCTAACTCTATTTTACTCCATACCCTTCAACTGATTTTCCAACTGATAATTTAAGGCAGGATATTCTACCCAGTCTCCATGCAATTGTGTATTTCTGTGTGGATGGAAACCTTCCTTTCTTTATTTCTTTATACTTGATTCTCCAAGAAACAGATAAAATTATATCTTTGAAGACGCTGTTTAATGGCAACATTTTTGGTTTCAAGCATTCCCTGGGTCTCAAACTCATTAAATTCAGAGATCTTGCCTCTCCTTTTGGATTTACATGCTACATAGTGTAAGTTTCACTCATATGTCTCCAAAGAGAAACACCCCTAGCTGGGAGCAAGCCTTCCTGCTCTTCTGGAGGATCAAAACCCTTTGGGGTGCGGGTCACCCATACAGGCATTGCACTATATTGTCCCAGTTCCTGGGCACCACAGTCCCTCTTCACTGTCAGCTGCGTTTCCTCAGGCTTTGGGTTTCACTTTGTCTGCACCCCTGTTTTGTTTACAGTTCAGCTTTGGTTCCCTTCTAGCATTGCAGCCCCAAGCTTCTAGAGCACAGAATATAATTCTAAACTTTCTCAGAATATAAATATAAAAATGCTTTGTCTTTAGGAAGACAACATTAGCATGGTGCATGGTTGCGCTGTCTCTTGGGCTCTTTGGGGCAGGAACCAAAACTTTAGCATTGCAGTTACCCAGTATGGGATTGTCATCCATTTCAGAATCTCAAAGTCTTATTAAAAAGTAAGTACATATTTATGACATTGTTTATGTTTGTGTGCTCCTATGACTAAGCTTAAAGCATTTTGTCATTGGACTTCCAAATATTATTTTTTTTTCCAGTTCTAACATTTGTTATTCCAGGAAAATCATCCCAAAATCTCCATGGCTAATCAGGCTAATGACATATCTGCACCAGATTAAGTACCTCTCCTTTTCTGGCTGTCACTATGCTGCTTGGTGTTAGGACATACTTTAGTTTCACTAGCAAAGAATATTAAACTTTACTCAGGTTTGAGCAGAAGATCTCCAAGGGAAATGCTGGTCTGATATGTAATGAACATATATGGATTAATTTGATGTATGTCTGATGACCTTGTTACTAAAGCACATTCCCAGCAACTGGAATAATCTAGCATTAAGAGTCTGAGGTGTAACATTTCCTCAGTTTGTCCTTTTCCCTTTATATCATCAGTTGCCTATCTCAGTCTTAAAAGCATCTTGTTCAACAGACAGTACAATATAAAGTGTAAAACCTGACTTATGTCTGCTTTTAGTCATTAAAAAAAAAAATACAAAACAAATTTTTCAGACCATAAAATCAATGAACATGCATCCCAACAAACCTTAAATTAGATAATTACATACATTTGATTAAAGGACGGTATACCAGGTACTTACTAGATTAAAAACAATATACCAAGTATTTTCAATTACATTTTATTCTTTTTCTTTCTACAACTACTGAATATTTCCCAAGTGCAGATCTTTTCATTCAGAGAGGTGAAAGTATTATACAATATTGTGCATTAGTTAGCCTACCTTTTTCAACATGACATTGTTCTTTCAGAATGTCTTCAATACGTTCTCCTTGTTTATTGCAACAAGCATAAAGGAGGCTTAATTTCTTGTGCATTTTCTGCTGCATCCCTAACTAATCTTGAATCTTATTTGCTATTAAGTCCCATCCTACTTGGCTTGTGATACCAACCTCACCCTTGTTATATTTTAAAAAATAACTTCTGAGCTTTTTCTGATGTTTTCCCTCAATTTGAGATTTGCATTCTTAAACTTCATTTTTCCTTTTCCTTTGCCTTTTTTTTTTCCTTTGCCTGTTTTGTTTTCCTAATGCCTTAAAAAATCAAACAAACGTGGGCAACTGACAACTTTCTGGTATGTTGGGACTACTGCCTGGTATAATGGCTATATTTTTTTTCTCTTATAATTCCCTCTATTCGGTTGTGTTGTCTCTTGTATTACACTTAGCTTGTAAGCTTACCAGGAGAGCACTCATTAACGTCGTAACTGTACAGCACCTAGGACAACAAGGCAATGATTCAAGTCTGAAATTTTTTCAGATCTGTAATAACAACAACAGTAGCAAAACCAGACATAGTGTAGCTGTATATTGCTCAAAGACATTTTTCTCATAAAAAGTCCAAATTTTTTGCTATACTGTGCACAGGGTTCTGACTGAAAATATATACTTTCTCAGTGCACTGCAACTTCACCCTCTCCTCTCCTCTTGAAATGATGAGTTGTTTCATTTTATTATCTCTGCTCCTGGCCAGTTTGAGTTTTTTTATTCTACCAGTAATGCTGGTCACACTTGCATCCATCCCATAGACAGGCAGGTTTGTGCCTTCTTCCTAGCTGTGCGTTTCCCATTTCTTGTCTTCTAGATTGAAATATTTTTGTCTTCTTTGTAACATTTGTAATCTTTTAAAACAAGTTTGCACTGTGATAGTCTGAACAGAATTAACCAAAACATCCATAAGGAAGGGAAATTGAGAGAAAAAGAGAAGGAAGGGGAAAGGAAAAGGGAAAAAGAAAGCAAAAGGAAAAAAGAGAAAAGGAAGGGGCAAGAGGGGGAAAGGAAGGGAAAGGGGGAAAAGGAAGAGGAAGAGAAAGGGGAAAGGGAAGGAAAATCCTGTTAGTATCTGCTATTTGGTTTATCCTAATAACACCCCTCTTGGTCTTTATACAAAATCTGACTTAACTTTGGTGTTGGTCTTGCTGTGAGAACAGCTGATTGAACCAGAGAACATCCAGAGGCCCCTTCCAGTTTAAAATTTTCTGTAATTCTATAATTGGGCTAACAATCATGAAGAGATGGATCTTGTTTTGGTATGAAATTCTGTGAAGGTTGAAAATTATTGTTTTAGTCTCCAAGGGTGGGGTTTACCTCATTCAGCTTAACACACTTAATGTCCATGTCTAAGCCAGTCACTGGAGAGGAAGAATCATCTCCAAAATTGCTTTTTGTCACCTGATTAGATGCCTAATGTGAGCTGAAATGGTCACCTTTTTCTCTCTGGAATGAATATAACTCCATGCAACCAACCTTCTGACACTTGAGCTGAGAAAGATGAATTTCAGAATAATATGAATACGAATTACCTATTTTGTGGGCACATGCACCCTTTGATGAGTTATATTTTCCTGGTGATAACTTTTTACCTTCAAGCCGAATGCATCTTCCCCCAGAATGTTAAAGGAACAAATCATACATTTGAACTGAGATGTAATAGAAATATTATACCAAGGCATAAAACCTAGTATCAAAAATGACAACCCATATTCTTTTGTGATAACTTTTTTCACTGACAAAACTGGAGGAGAAATAAAAAGAGTTTAAAAGAAGAGCTTGCTAGTAACAAGCCCCCAAACCTCTCTAAGGAAATGGAAATGTTATTTGACGTTACAAGTCAATGCTGCATTGTTGACAGAGCTCTCCCTGCCAAGCATCCATTTCCATTTATTACGTTTTTACAAATGCTGAACAAACCATCCAAGATCATATTGGGACTTAGAGGACAAGGTTATCGTTAATAGCAGGGCATTAACAATGTGCTAAAAGATTACAAAAGTGCTGAAACAAACTCATGACCTGAGTGTGCTCTGGGTTCAATGAGAACAATAAATTCTTCATGTGGTTAAGCTCTTAAGAGCTACATACTATTAATGACAACAAGAAACCATGTCTGAAGAAGCTGTTTGATAGAGAGGTTTATTTGGCATTATGATGTAAGGAAATCATCACTGAAGCCTTCTATATACACTAGCAGAGCACAGGATAGCTCTGACTCAGGTAATGGCTGTCCGTCTGTATTTGAAATATTAAATATTATATAGTCTGGCCCACCAACTACTTTCTTGCTTAAGTAATTGCCGTGTCAAAAAAAGTACTCAGGATCTTTAGTTTCATTATTTTAAACCACTGTAATTTCATTTTTTCTCTTTTCAAGCAGTGCTTAGGGATCATTGAATCATAGAATAGTTGGGATTGGAGGGGGTTTCTGGAGATTGTCTAGCAGGGTCAGCTAAGGCAGGTTGCTTAGGACTATGTCCAGTCTCATTTTGAATAACTCCAAGAAATGAGACACCAGGACATATCTGGGCAACCTGTTCTTGTTTTCAGAAAGGTTGTTAAAAATAAAAAGATTAAATTCTTATCTCTGCTTCAGAAAAAAAATGTTATGCACCACAAATACAGTTTCAGTTTGAATTATGAAGCGTAAGAGGCAAACGTCCTCTCTGAAGCTGAAATTCACCTTACAACTCATTTACCCATGCTAATCAGTCAATAGATTTGCAGAAATGATGTGTTGATTTCCCTTCTTTTTAACGTAGCAATTTCTGTTGGCTGCCAAAATGAATTAAATAAAGCGCAGCTCTGATAGCTGATATACTAATCAAAAATAGCAGGTGCTTTCCCTTAAAATGCTGCCAGGAGCCCAGTTTCTGGGCCCCCTGGAGTCTCAGAAAGTGAATGAGACTTCTGCTCGCATAAGAGACTGATCTTGCTCAGGAAATATCTAAGTGTTGCCTGGGAAGCTAGACAATGTCAGTGAAAAGAATTGAAGAAACTCTCACCATATCTTGGAAGTTGCATCAAGTCCTGACACTTGATGGCATCTGGCAGGTCAATGGGACCTTAAGCCAGCAGATATTCACCTCTACTTCATGGAGCAGCATCAGCTGCAAATGCCTCCATTTGGTCCATTGTGAAAGACAGAGGGTTATGCCCATGAACTTTGTGGGTCTCCAAACATCTTGCCAATTAGATAAAAACACAGGGGTTCACAAGGTTTGTGGATTACACCTGGTAGGTTTTTTCCGGCTGAATCTACTTAAATGAACTCATGTCAAATGACAATTGAGAGAAACTCTTTCCAGCTGAAGTTTCAAAGAATTTGCTGTTTCAGAAAAAAAAAAAAAAAGACATCTAAAGACCAAAAACAAACCAAAAAAGCCCTCATGAAACAAACAAACCAACCTGAAGGCTGCTAACTCCCTTAAGCTCCTCACAGACCTCACCATTATTGGCCAAATTCTGTTCTCATCCTCAGCTGTCAAAGCAATGAAGGGGGTGAGTTTTAGCCCCACAAATTCAAAGAAAAGCTTCCCTCTGGTTTCAGTAACATCAATATTTTACTGACATTTACTCCTTACATTTTTATTCTTGTTTGGACAAAAGTTCAGTTTGTGGATCTGAAAGCATTTCAAAGCTGTGACTATGTTTCACGGTATGTTTGAGATGCAGGTAAATACCGTTTAGGTCTTTCAGTGCTTGTGGAAACTGTCCTGGGTTGTGAGTCTACAGCAGAACCAGAAACAGAGCTCCGAACAACTGAATTCCAGGTTCCCTCATTAAAAGGGAACATGAACTATTACATGTCAACACTACCGCCTTTGATTTATTAAGGCCTAGAAGGCCTAGTTGTCAAGTCTTTTTTTGTTTCTTTTTTCTTCTACATGGACACTTTTCTAGCCAGTTTTACAGAACTTTTCCCTACCAGGTACTTCACTGTGGTAGATTGGAATTGATATTAACAGTCGTCTCTGATTTAAGTTCCTCCTGAGAAGCCACAGTATTTTTTGAGGCAAAAATACAAGAGTACAACACCACCAGAACTGAAAGGCATATGTGAATATACTTAGAAATTTGACCTATTTGGAAAGATAGCTTTACTGGGTATGATCGAGCAGATGTACTTACGTGTTATAGTGAGAAGTACAGTAAAGATATGAGAAAGGAAGATTCAGGCAAAACCTGGACAAGGCTAGAATATGATTGAAAGAAACAGAAGGGGAGAGAAGAAAAAGTTTCTTCATCAGATGGTAGAAGGAACATCCTGCGCTGCACTGAAAACTCATGTCCTCCCAGGGAGACAGGTTCCTACATTTCTTGTGAGCAGAAAGTACTAGGACGTGGCTCTATCTTAGTTTCTTTCTTCATACTTACACTTACAGCAGTGTAAAGAAAGGACCCTGGATTTTGGCTAGCAGCACAATGCAACTCAGGAAATTTTAAAGCATGTAGCTGTCCTTAGAATCCAGACTGAGGTCTCCACACACGAAATAAGTTAAAAAATCACATTTAGTATCAACAGGATGTTTTCAATAAGAGTGTCTGAAACATTCAAATATACTATTTTTTTACAAGCAGCAAAAAAACTTACTGGAAATCAATTAGGTTTCATTTAGTTTTTCAAGAAGTCATCACTGCTGTATTCAAAATACCTTTGAAAATATTCATTTTAAGCACCAGACCATCTGATAAATGCCCTAATAAAAAGGGCTTTACTAAACATGAAGCAAAGCCTCATAAGTCTAAACTGATGTTTATTGTGTTTCTACAGCTGAGTTTCAAAATTGCATTTTTTTACTTTTATCCACTGGAGTCTGAGATTGTGCTACACATCAGCAATAATTGCCACTGCTTTTGCTGTAGCTTAGGAAGACAAGAGGATTCTTTGTATGCCTCTTTTATGACATTGTCAATATATTAATACAAGTTATATGAACAAACCTAAAGAGACAAAGAGCTGTTTGTTATATTATTATCCAGGGGTGAAAGCACAAATCTTAGGGAAAAAAATCCAGTAGGGAGTGCAGCTGAACAAAAGGTCTAAGTAAGGCAGGCTCTGACACCTGATTATATGCGAACCCAGCAGTGTAGCCGTGCAGGGATTCCCTTCTTCTGTTTGCAGACAAGGATTAAATGAGAAGTGGTGAGATAACAAGGGAGTGTGTATGCTTTATGATATGCCTATTTTTTCTACCAGTTGCTAATCTGCAGCTCTGCTGATGATTGCAATTTCATCTCCAGAGATATGCTATTCAGAAACATCAAAATGGCATTCAACTGAGCACCCTGTGTTTCTTTAAGGCCAGATTGTCCAGACTATCAACCACTGAAGGGGGAGGACCTCGTATTTTATTCTGCTCTTTACCCTTCCTTGGGTGATGACAGACAGCAAATGGGAAGAGGAAGGTAGGATCCAGTCTACTCACCTGATATGCTGTAAGAAGAGTACTTGTCTGCAGGAGGAGCTGGTCTGTCAAACCTCGATTCATCAATACAAGTGTATGGCTGCACATAGGAAAACAGTGACTCAGTGTGTGAACAGAACACTGGTGATTCCACTAAGAACAGATAGAGAAGCAAAAAAACTTCAAATTAGGCCAGCAAAACCCTGCAAATTAGGCCTGCCTTATTTTATTGTTTGCTTTGCAATAAAGCAACACAGAGCTGCCAGTTACCCATGTCAACCTACAGGTATGTAAGGACACTTCCCACCTTCACTTGCCACTAGCCAGACTTTTAATTTCTGTTGCCTTGTAGAAATCAGTTCTCTGTCTACTGTATGCAGGTGCTGTTGACGATACAAACTGCAGAATCCACTGATAATCACAACTTTATGGACGTGGCTCAACAACTTTAAACTAGCAACTTCAAGAACTATTGAGAAATTAAACCAAATCTGTACATCTTGGATGAGTTCCTGGTGGAAGCTACATAATCTGACTGCTGATAAATAAAGGTTTGTGTGAAAGGCACTTTCAAAATTAAATCTGCAGTCAGTTCTTTCTTTGTGAATGTGCTCATAACTTGAGTATGTTAATACCTCTTGTCCAGATGGCAATTTTGGGGGGCATGAACTCTCCCCAGTTTTTAAGAGCATCACACACCCTATATGAGTGCACCTTCATACAAGATACCCTACATTCTTTCCAGTACCCATTCATTGCATGAATCAGAGTATACAGTTACTGCCAGATTCAATCCAAAAGATTTGCACCTACAAGAAAGTCACTGCACATGTAGGCAGAGTGTGCTGACAGACTTTAGTGAAACAGAAAAAATATTTATTCTCTGTATTTATTCTCTGTATCAATACAGAAAAGACATTAATAGGTACAGAAATCACCACAGATCTTTGTTGGCTGAAGCTTGGTGACCTGTATGAAGACCTCTTGCCTCCCTCAGAGACTGAATATTTCCTGGGGGTGTAGTGGTCTGTATCACGCCCGCTGAGCAAACCAGAAGTCCCTTAAAGCTCAGTGGTGAATTAATCATGCTTGGGCCACCCGCCAGTATAAAATTAGAATGGTGTGTGATTTCTGTGAGAATTGCACATGAAGCATAGATGCTATTTGTATGTTCATAACTGTGAGGCCTTTTGCTTTTCTTATTTACGCCCCGTGCTTTGTCCAGATGCAAGCAGGTAAAGTGACCCACATTCTCTTGACACGTCGCACATGGCATTGCCCAAGCACAAAGTGTGCAATCAGTTTTTTCCCCACTGCACACAAACACAAACACATAGACAACCTTAATCATACCACCTGGCAAAGGAGCAGCCTCTCCTCCTCCTGGACTGTCTGGCAGATGGCACAACAGCAGCACAGTTTCACAGCTCCAGGACCAAAGTAACAGCTGTTGGATTACCACACACTTTCTAGAACTTTAATCTTCAAAGAAATTCTGAATCTTACCTGGCTTCACCTTTCCTTCTGCCGTTCACAGAGAAGGCAGAAGCCTCAGAAAACAAGATTATGCAGGCCCTTAGCACAGCCTGAAGCCACAATGTCAGCAAGGATAAAGACAATATAGTTAATGGCTGAAATATGTATAAGGGAGCAGTCCTTCAGAATAAGGATTTTTGAAGATAATTACAGGGGCTGGAAAATTGGGTTGAGAAAGATTTTAACAGGGAAAATATTTTAGTTTATCTAAATGTTACCACTGAAAATGTTACAGGATGAGTTGGTCATATTTCATGTGCAATCTGCAAACATGGAAAGTTGTCTGAAAGATTATTAAATAACTGTAGAGAAGGAAGCGCTTTAAAACCAAATTATCATCTCCTCTTCCCTACATGTGACTACCACTTCTGGAGCTCATTTGTCATTAGACTAAATGGTTGTGGACAAGGAGCATCTTTTGACAAAATCCAGATCCAAAATGTATTTCCAGTGAGCAGACATAGAGCAGAATTTACGTTAAAATCTGTAACTGAGCCATGCTTCATTTCTTTTGTGACTCAAATTTTAGTTATATTAAGGGCTATACTGCCATGGCTGGTGCAATCACAACATCATATTATTAAGGAACTTTCCATTATCGATGGACTTTAATTATCATTAGAGATCTTGGTCTCATTTGATCTGAAGTAAATGCATAGTAACTTCAAGGAGTTTGAATGAAATATTCCATCATTGCATTTTTGCAGAGGTATTCAGGGTCATGACTCAAATTTAAGCTGGACTGTTTAAACCCAAGATAGATTAAATAGATAAGATAGGAAGGAAATGAGTTGCTTGAAAGCTGGTAAGATTTTCCTCAGTGAGATTCAAACAAGACCTGATTGCATAAATATGTCCAATTTTATTATTAATTATCCAATATCTAAAAATAAAAAAAAAAAAACCCTCACTTCATTTGGTTTACACTTAATTTTTCTTTTATACACTTCTTCAATTAAATGACAATGTTTTGTTTTTTTTTTCTGGTACAAATTGTCTCAAACTATCATTGATATGTAGTTAAATTGAATTATTAAAAGTTCTTACCAAAAGTCTCATCCTAGTATTGAGAGATTATTTTTTTCTGAAATGTAAATGTATACTCCAAAAACTTGCTGCTTTCAATCACTTAGCCTTCTAATTTATTCCTGTAGTGGCTGAATTTCAACAAATGCATCCTTTTCCTGCCTCTTTACAGTTAACAATAGACACAAGAATATCAAGAAACTGCTAAAACAGCCAAAAAGAATATATTAAAGTCCAGCCACACAGACAAAGTTATGGTTTCACCCATCTACCAAAAGCCACATTTTAACCACTCTCCAAGAAAATACTTTTAACGTACAAGAAGCCCTGAGAATACTAAAGGCAGATTCAGTGTTTGTCCCCATTTCGCTGAATTGAAGGAGGCTGCTAACAGTAAAATTTCATTTCCTTTTTGTTAAGCAGCTGTCGGCTGTCTGAGCTGGCTGATACAGGGAGGATATGGACTGTGATGTCTTCGTGAGTCACAGGGAAAGTGCTAACGTGATTTATATGTTCTCAGAAGATCACTGAAGTTCAAGAATAAGGGAGGGACACTGACACATTTTCTGTGTGTAGGTGTAATCATTGGCACCAAGGACAGACATTTCATCTAGTTCATGTTTTCTTATTTAAAAATAGACACATAATGATTATTAGAGATAGTTTAAGACTGGTGATTTTTTAATGAAAAATATGCTCCCATTTAAAATAATAGAAACCTTCAAATCTTGTAGGATGCTCTTATTTTGAAGTGCATTTTCTCTCATCAGGGAAGTCCAATATCTTCTTGCCATCCACATTCACTATACTCTGTCACACAGCTTTGTGTTTGTTCTGGAGAAGGTGGCTACACACTGTATTTAAAGACTGACCTGCACTTGGCACTTGTTGAAAGGATAATTGGAGATGCTTCTCATTAGGATGCGTTGCTTCCCCAGCCAGTGTCTACCATGACTTGCATGGCACTCGAATCCTCTTTGGAGTTTTCTGTGATGCCAAGTGTATTTACCTATGGTGCAACTGGTACATACAGATATTCATCCTTACCCTACAGGAAGGAGAATATATTTGTCAAGTCCTTCTGCTGACACCTCATGCTTCTTTGCCATATAATTGGGTTGTCTGTTTGCTTCTGCTTCAGGGTCATCCTGACCAGGTGCAAGAGCCTCATGCAGGTGCTAGCATGCCACCATGCACTGTTCAGTGAGATCCAAGCACACACAAAGTTTGTGCATCCCATCCATGGTACCCCTTACTGTTGACTGGTCACTCATAAGCATGGTCTCCCCATGGGGTCCCTGACATCCCAACCCACTGGGAAGAGCCATGCTTGCCAGCAAGGCTGAGTTCTGGATGGCAGGGTGTGGATGCATGTTTGTGAGCTCAATGAAGGAGCAGAGAGAAAAAACAGACAGAGGGGCACCCTCTATAGTGGAAAAGAGCAGTGGCTGAGCAATGCAGGGGTATCTGTGAGATCAGTCACATGATTCTGAGAGATCCCACTACTGTGCTCAATGAATAACATGGTGCAACAATGACCGGGACAACAGTGACTCTGGGCTGTGTCTGCTACATCTTAGTAGATACAGAGGAAGACAAGCCCAAGAAAATGATGAAACTTCATGTTCATCTACATTTATTAAAAAATATTAAATTTTGTTTTCAAAAAGTACCTATTTTGTGCAAAGTTGACAGAATAATGCAGAGTTTTCTCTTGTGTTTAGTATAGTTCATGGATCCTTCACTCTGTCAGAAAGGGGATTTTCCTTGCACATTAGCATTTTAGTTTTCCTAAAGCATTTTTCAGCAGAATTCTTCCCCATTTGAAACCATGGCTCAGGTATCTTCTCCAAAGGAAAAAAGAAACCAAAAACACAGTCAATAGAAACATAGATCTGGAGAGGACAGCTTATATCATTGATCTAGCTGTTTGCCAACAAAGAAAGCCATGCAATAAGTGTTTAATACAAAATGCACAGATCACTCACAACATCCACAGAACACTTCCAAACACTCCAGGAACAGATTGAAGGCTATAAAAAGTTCCAAAATTAGAGGTAATGTTCATATACCAGCCCACATCTTCTGCCCCCTGCTCTACCCCATCTTCTAAATGTCAATTCTATCACAAGCCTGTGAAGCAAATATTAGATAAGTAGCCTTTATTTCACCTTTCATTTACAAGGCGTTTCCCAAAGTTAAGTCTCTGCCTTTCCTTTGCATTGTTTGTCAAGGATACATAGAGAGAGGGATAATATGAAATAATCTTAGTTTGGAGCTCACTGAGGGGTCACTGGGAACTGCAGACTTATTATTGTTGGCCTGATGCCAATGCTGCTGAAATAATGCTTGTCACATTTCTTTTCCTTATGGAAGCTGAGACTTTGTAGAATCCATGCGGTGGCTGTTTTCAGTAGAGGAACTGTCTAACTTTTCTCCATGGGAGGAATAAGAACTCAAAACTTTTTGTCTTTAGTGAACTTATCCAGAGAGAGGAGGGAAACATAAAGATGAGGAAGAATGAGATTTAGGCAGTTGTCAGAAAAAGACAAAAATGGCCTTACATCATAATTATCACATTAATATGTGTACAGCCAATAAAATACAAGTGTCTTTAGGTGACCACCAACCCAGAATTGCAGTTAGAAGAGCAGAGGAGCAGAACTCCACAGGATATCTGACCTCCTTTTTTCAAACATGTGGAAATACTTTGTGGGCTGCAAAGCTGTGAAGTAAGAATATTCTGATCACGAAAAGACAATGCAATAAGCATGTATGCCTCATGCAACAGCTGTAAATCATTTGGTGTGACACAGAAAGCCCATACAATATGGAGCACTACCAGCTTTCTAGCTTCAGTTACCCTTGAGCTACATTTAGGTTCTTATCACCAGTATACTGTAAAATAACACTGGGTATTTCTCCAAGTCCAAAGGGGCTAATGAGGAATTCTAACTGCTCGAATTTAATTGAGTCTGCAAATGCCATGCTTCCTTTTCCTGAAAACTTGACATTCTTGACTGGGGAGGGGAGAACCCAGGAGAGTTGATTTACTCTTTTTGCTTTTTCTTTTCTTTTAAGCATGCTGAGAACTACAATGCCCGAGTCCTCAGCAATTAAAGTTACCAATTTACAGTTATTTAATAGTGGCTGGATTCTGACAGTGTGTGTATTAAGAGGGTGTGTGTAAGAGAAATTAGCACTCAGTAGTGTGGAGAGGAATCTCCATTAAGTGCCAGATAAGCATTCTTCCCACTCAGGAGGAGGAAGGCAGTGTGCTCCCTGCAAAACCGTGGCTTTGAAAGTGGAGTTATTCATCTTTCTTCTACTTAGTACAAGCTCACCTAGGAGTTAGTGGCCAGTTTCTAAGATGCTGTAAACCCACACGTTTGTTTAGGCTGGCCTTTTGGGACACAGTGGCTTACAGTAGCTTCAGCCACTGCTCATTTATTTTTTACTCCAAACTGCATTTTACCACAGTGCCCACTCCTCTGCTAATGTAAGGTATGAAAGGTTTTTAATCTGTAAAGTGAGTAAATAAAGTGACTCAAAAAAGAATCTTTGAAGAGAATGAGTAGTGCTTTCTTGAGTTGACTTTGCTGAAAAGTGGCTCTTTTTTTTTTTCCTGGGAACAGGGTAAGCCCTGGAAAGGTATGATTCAGCATAAGGCAAGGGTTACTCCATGGCCTTTAATACACCATACGAGTTAATAAATAAACCAATTGAAAATATAATGAAAATTAGGTCTAATCCTTAGCAAATAAAATACTTGGCTACTTTGAACTGACCTCAGTATATTCAGACTTTCCTAATTTGTGCTTTGCTTTTAATCGCCTAGAACCCCCTACAGTTACCTAGAAACCATAGGTGCAGTGAGAATAGCCAGGCATCCATAGTAAAGATCAGATTTGTCCAACATCTTTCAAGAATGGTTTAGAAGTAATTGAGTCTCCTTTGGGACCAGGGAATGGTAAAGAAGCCCTCTCAAGCTCTCTTTCATCTTGTTATCTTGTTTATTGTATTATCCTGGAGTCAGTTTAGATGTAACACAAAAGAAAGCAGACTCTGTCACATATTACTTCTCTTTCTCCACTCTCTCAACTTACACTCAGATAAAAGCAGCTAAGACTACAATTCTTTGATTTTATTCTAGAAGCTAGATTCTTTAGGGGTAAGTAAGTACCAGTGATTCTTAAGTATTAAGTTTGGAGTTCATCTTACAGCCATAACCTTCTGGTGGCCAGAGTGATTGGGTGCCTCGTTATGAAAGCTTAGTCTCTCCTGTGGGCAGCTGGGCTCAAACAGGCATAGCTCAGTATGGGAGTTTCTCCCCATCCAGCATTTTTCTCCAGGTCAGCCCAAACCATAAGTGTTAGAAGGTCCTGAGTTCAAAGAGGAGTGTGAAGAAGAGGGCTGCTGGGTGAGAGAAATAGTTAAATGATGTGAATGGAGATATGAATGAACACTGATGGATTTCTCTTCTTACTCTAAAAATGAGTTAGAAGACCAACATGAGGAGGGGATATAGCAGAAACTATGCAGAAACCAGTCTGTTCCTCATGAAATTTGTAGTGCTGAAGTAGGAGGGTTGGGTTAGATGTTCTGGAAGAAAAGATAAAGACCAACATGAGGAGGGGATATAGCAGAAACTATGCAGAAACCAGTCTGTTCCTCATGAAATTTGTAGTGCTGAAGTAGGAGGGTTGGGTTAGATGTTCTGGAAGAAAATATAAAAATACTATCATTATGCTTCTAGGGAGATTTTATACTACTTTTGTTACTGTTGTTCTCATTACTAATATACTACTTATGGAAGGAAACATGTTAGTTTTCCACCTGTCCTCCTAGGGACAGATATGGCATTCAAAAAAGAGGGAAGTTCAAAAGACGCTTGTATGTCTGTAGAGAAGCCTAAACCCCAAAACTACTTGCAGCTGCCATGGTAACTACATTTATAATAAAATGGAAATATGAGACACACATAAAATTTCCTTTTCTTTTGACCTGCTTGCTTTTCCTATAGCACTTCCCATCTCACTAAGGTCAGACTTGCCTGTGAGCATCTCAGCCCAGGTGTTTTGCCTTCCTTGCCTCTTCTTGAGATCCTGCCCTCCAGCCCAGATATTTCCTTAGGGGTGGGTTCTCAGCTGTCCTGGAGCATTTCCACCTATGTACCTTTAATTCTGCTGCAATGAAATCAGCACACTAAGACGTCCCCTTCTTGGTATGGCTGTTTCTTTGACACACTTCTGTCAACACTGTCCTTCCATACAACCCAGGTTTGGGGCTTTCAAGTGCTGGGAGGATAAGGGGAAGCGATTTTGAGGTGTTAGAGTTTTGTGTTTGATTTTCTGAACGTTTATGTGTAGGTAACTAGCTGAACTAAAAGACATCAAGAGTTTGTTTTGCTTAAGAATATTCAATTGAGGTACTTCTGAACCATCAGGGCTCAAAATGCTTCTGCCTAAGTCGAGAAATAGGGAGCTTTGGCTGAGAGGCAGAGAGAAGCAGTGTAACTGTCTAGAGGCCAGGGTGAGCATACACCTATGTAGCCTTTTCTTTGCAGCTTAAAAATTGGGACCTTAATGGGAAATGGGAAGTCATCATGCGATGCAGTGTGGGGATGTGACCCAGAGCAAGCGAAGGAAGCAGCATCACTCCTTACCATCAAGGCCACACTGTGCCAGCAACAGCAGCACAGCGTCCCGGCAGCACTGACTTGTTCTGGCACAAGCAAAGGCCGCCAGGAGTGAAGGACGAGCATCAGAACAGACCTTCCTGTCTGTGAGCCTTGCAATAGGAAGCTCCAGGGCTGCTTTCAACATGTCTATCCTTCCTGTGCTGTTCCCAAGCTGCAGCACCAGCTGCAATTAATCTTCTTTTACGCACTGCTCTGATCTAACAATTGATCTTGCAGGCTACAGAAGACTTAGGCAACTGTTTTACAATGAAAATATCACTGAAAATCAGCATGATTACTGTCTATGGGCTGGTCTTTGTCTCATTTGAACCTCACCTTCTAAGTTTTTATCCCACAGGGATTTTTCTTTTTAAGCTTTTCTTTTTTTTTTTTTTCCCCTACTTTTTTTTTGTAATCTACATGTGGAGCTCACTTTCTATTTCCCAGCTGGTGCAAGGAGGTACTAGGGTATAGAAGACAGGGCAGCCCTGTTTCCTTAATCTACATCTTTTCGTAATGAGTCCAGCAATAGAACCAGATCAAATAAAGGTAGCTAGTTAACTTGCTTAATGATCAATTTTATTCCACAACATAAAGGTCTCAGAAAAGAATTGTCTTTTGATTTACCTACATTATAAATTTAATGTTGTCAGGAAAATGTCTAAAAGATACGAGAAACACTACACCAACATTCAGTAAAGGGAGAGGTTGTCAAAATTTGAGTAAAATGAATTTATTGCATGGTTTTAAATAAAACAAACTGAGAATAACTCCTGAAGAGTTGAAACTTTCTTTTGATATTTTTTTTTAAGAAATATTTCATTTTTTTTAATTCATTTTTTGCCCAATATCTTTTATTGGGAGGAAGGGATTAATTTCCTTCTTTTTTCCTTTGAATGGGAAAATAATGCAAGAATTAATAGTTTCCTATCAAGATGACATGGTGGTTTTTTGGTTGTTTTTACTTTAGCCTTTGAGTTTAAAAATTGATTTGTCGCCTAACTACAAGTTGAAAGAAAGCACAAAGTTTGCAGGCAAATTTTAAACTAGGCATTGGTATCAGAGAACTCAAATATTTGCAAGTGCCAAATTTCATGCTATAAATAAAATTTACAAAACAAAACAAACCTACATGTGTTTGTAGTTCTGACATTAATGCACTATTTTGTTCTTATTTTAGGAAAATCATATAAACACATGAGATGCAAATTCTAGAGGACAAAGTGACAGATAAGAGCAACTAGTACAGAGAAACAGAGCTTGTGAGAGCTAAGGCAGGAACCTGCCTCCTACTTCTGCTTGGAGATGTGCTGCTGTGGTAACATCTGTTCCTGTAGCACTCACACAGGGCTTGTTTGCACACCCTTTGGGGGTGATATCAGGTGCTGTGGTGTTACGTATCTGCAAACACACAGCCTTTCTTTGGTTTGGAGGGAGAAGAGCAGTCCCAGACCTGCAAGAGTCTGATGGCAGAACTTTTCCTCAGGCTCCTCACATGCAGGCTGTGTTCCTGCTTTGGCTGGCTCTTTTCTCACCCGCTTCCACCAGTTGCCTGTCTGGGTCTGCAGCGCTTTCTGGCACGTGCTGCAGCCTCCACAGGGCTTAGGATGCATCCCCCACAAATGTCACCTCAGCCATGTCTGTCTCTTCCAAACACTGGGTCTCTTCTGACTGTTTTCCTGCAGTTTATTGCATAAGAGAAGAGGCTTTCCCAAAATGTTACTGGCATCTCTTGTGAGCAAACAGATGTTGTGCTGAAATCCCACCCTCTCCAAGCCTGTGTGCAGGGTGTGGGCAACCCAAAAGCCTTTTCTCCAGCTCATGGGTCACCTGCCCTCTTTGCACAGGCATTCCTGCTTCTTATTGAGTTTTACACTGTTGCCAGGATTTTTAACTTTGGTTTATTAGCAACAAAGTTTACCCTTTTCCCATCCTGTGGGAATAAGCTATTTCAGTATCTATACAGCACAAGTATTATGGTATGCAGGAGGAATTCTTCCTCCACAGCAAGGGAGCATGCAGAACACAGCATTAAAGAGGCTTTACTGCCTGCAGAACACACTGCAGTGAGTTGCTGCTCTTAGCCTGGCCAAATGAACATTAATATAATTCGGCCTCTTTCTCTGAAGTTTAGATTAAGGCCCGTTACATCACAAATAAAACTGACTAAAACTGATACAGACATTTATGAGCAGTTACGGTTATCATCCACTGGCTGACAACTTGCTTTACCTCCTTAACTCAATTTTGCATTCGAACCCTTAAGGAGGGGAGAGTGTAACATTTTACTTGTAGCACTATGGATAGTTTAATACGATTTCTGTCAGTAGAGTAGCTCTGACAGACTATTTAGTTCACCTCAGTTGGGAATATCCAGATTGTCAGGGAATCCAGTATCCTCTGATATAAGTCATTTGCAGTTAAACATACATTTTCCCACTGAAGCAGCTCTCTGGCTTTGCTGCTATTTGTGTGGTTATCTGGTTTTGGAAGATGTTCCTTTCATTCTGTTGACTTTGGCAAAAGTTAACCTAATTGCGTGCCCGTGTTCTGAGGCATTTCCATTAATAAGTCCTCCTTTTTAAAAATTTGAGCTGGATTCTCTCATTCAGAAGTACAGGGTTTAAAAACACTTGCTGAATATTGATTATGGATTCCTACAACCAGTTCTGTTCAGTTTTGTTGTTAAAGTCTTTTACATGGTTGAAAACAAGCAGATGATCTAACACTAGAAAAGTAAAATGCTTACGCCAGCAGTAGGATAACTCACTTTTCCCATGTGTTTTCATTGCACATGATGTTTGGGGTCATACCTAAACAACTGTCAGTCATTAAACTCTATGCTCCAACCCAGTTATACTAACGTAAACCTGACAGGATGCTCAGGCATTAGGTAATTTGCAACCTGTTTCTTTTTCCTCTGTTCTCAAGGTCTCTTTTACAGGCTCATATTGCTGAATACTGGTCTTAAATCTCATTATTTCAACCACTCTCCCTCTCTTTCACTTCAGGAGTGTGTTTTTGAAGCAAATCATTTGTATTTACTGTACTTTGCCTTATATTATGGGAAAATCTCTGAGCACAAGAGTGGCCTCACTTTTACATAAAATAAAATAAACACAGAACATGTGGTGGAGAAGCACACATCAGATGCTGTGAGATCCAAGGCACATTCATTCAACATATATAGAGCTAGCCCAAAGTAGTCATCCCCAAAATGTGTATGGGACAGATGCAGGGTCATCTGCACCATCTGTTTTGTTCTGTAAGTACTGTCCTGCTTGGCTTCAACACTTGGTAATGACTGAAGAAGATGACATTTTATGTGTTTTGATGTCCAACTGTAGATGACAAAATTAGATATTAAAAAAATATCAGCCTAGCTTTGGAAATGTGGCTACTAAAACCATAAAAAAAAAGAATTATTAAGAATATGCTTGGCCACACACGAATGACTAAGCTCAAAAAAAGGAATTTTATGGGAAAAACATTATGGCTTTTAATGCATAGGAAATCAGGCCATATAACCCTACAGTCCCTTTGGTCTTAAAAGTTATGAATTTATTTAAAATATCACTTCTCATTATGCTGTTGTTGTTAACACATGTGCCTAGGGTTCTTCAGGTGGGCCAAAAATGTCCTGGTGTGAATAATAACGATGTCCAGAGAACAGTAAAAAATTCCCTGACATCAACAGAAATGTATTGGCAGGTGATGCTTGCAGTGTTGACTCTGGCTGGTTATTTAGAAAGCATTTATGACATTACCTATTGCTGTCTGTGATGGTGCTTGTAGGGAGGGATACACAAATGCTTTGGCCTGCTCCCTGTTACCATAGAGACCCACAAATGTATAGTCAGAAATTCCAAATCAAGAAAGAATATACTGTGTGACTGGACAAGAACCACAACAGGTATTTCAGCAGCTGTCCAAAATGCCACAGGTCTTTGGAGAATAAACTTTCAGAACTCTTTTTAGTCTTTGCTTCATGTCACCTTTGCAACCTGCTAACAGTTCTTTCTTGAAGAATTTGAGGCAGGCTGGGGTATCAAAAGGAAAATGAAAATACTTTGCATTTATCTGCATGACAGTATCTTTAATTATGTGGCATTTGGTATTCATCCTTCTCTGCCACCTTGCTAAAAATAGTTCCAGTTGTCCTATCAAAACCCAGATCATGAAGCTTGAGGACCTAAGCACACAAAAAAAATTAAACAATATGTACAAATTCTAATATACTACCCACTAATTTGAGTAGTGTTTTACTCAACAAATTATTTCTTTGCTCAATAAAGCAGTTTTTGTGATGAATATGAAAAGTGTGAGGACTAAAGACCCCAGTCCCTACCAATGAGGCTATTTATGGAATAGATGTTATTCATGAGGACTAACAGCAATAGAATGGATCTTGGAGTGAATTATTTCAAGTATTATTTGAAATAATGACTCTGTTACCCAGAAAATTATTCCCTGAAGAGCAGGAATGACAAAAGATATCGTTGATCTTTATTTTGTATTTTAATAATGTGTATTTTGGCCATATCTTCTCTGCCAGGTGAATTTCTGTCTTCTTCCTATGAAAGCTATGATATCATGTAGCAGCTATTACACAGCAGTTGTTACTTTTTACAAGATCCCAGCTGTTTCATTGTAAGAATAAAAAGACATTGGGTACCTGCCGATTAAATAAATGGAAATGCCATTTTCATTTATTGCAGTAGCCAGTTTGACTTGTATTCATAATATTTTTTGTTAATGTAGGTAAAATGACAGCACTGGCAAGTGAAAGTAAATGTTTTTATGAGCAGAATATGTGTATTAAAATATTCAGTCTTTTCAGCAGATTCACAGCTGCTTTGGTTTTGAAATGCAAGTTTTGAATGATAAGTAATGTCCTGGTGTCTCCTACCTGTCCACTGATACCAGATCCCCTACCTCTGCTCATCTTCTGGGTTTTGGTGCATAATGATCAATAAGAGGGAGGGTTCCATGGGCATATTTTCCCACCTACTTCCTAGTCTTGCTTTCCAGTTAAAATGCTGAATACAATTACAAACCCATTAAGCAGTGTTAAAATGCACTAATATCAGAGTGCTCTTTTTCAAAACTGGATCATTTTACAGCAGAGCCACATCTTTAGTGTGCTACAGGAAGGCTTACAGAAAGCAGATATAATCTGCTGCTGCATTTTTTAAAAAATACTTCCTGTAGAGAATTAAATGCATCACCGTTTCTATTACCTACACAAATTCTACCATAAGAAAAAGAATGATTGAAAACAGTTTTTAATTTGTTGCATTTAGCATCAAAATGGGACGCTATTTTAGAGATGCCATAAATGCCTTATTGCCAAGCTTAGAGACACCACTCATGGAGTCCCTTTTTGGGGACAAAGGCACAAGCCTGGGACAGAGGCAAGAAAGTTTGTGAAGGGGCCAGTGGCTTTTGAAGCAGGAAGGAAGGTTCAAACATGGCTTTGTGCAGTTCTAAGTCACGTCCGTCACGTCAGATTAAGGAAGGCTATTAAGGAAATGACAATATTTACTGGAAGAGGGTGCAGAGACTTCCAAAACCAAAACCCCTTTTAACAGAGCATCCTAAAACTGAGTCACTCAACATCTCCTGTAACCTCTGAATACATATGTCCTTGAGGATAACAATAAGTGGGCAGAGAGCATTCTCCTCTTTAAGCAGATGCTGACAGAGTGCTCCACTCACTGCTGTGTCACCTGCGATCTGGAATACTTTACTTGGCACACACCAAGCCCTTACCATGAAGAAGTGACAAAAATGGGTTAAGCTAAAATGAACTTTATTTGAACTGACTATTTAAAGTCTGAACTAGATTTTTCCCAAGGGTCTGTACTGTGGTTTTGACCAATAGTAAGAGCAATAGCTAGGCTTAAAATGCTGAGCCACAACCAGAAATCTCAGCTTCTTATTAATTAGAAACATACCCCTTCAGCAAAATTTCAGGCAGAAGCAAGAAGCAAATATGAAAAAGTAAGACTATAAGGCAAAGCAGAAAGTAACCATTTAATACACTTTATGTTGTTCTGTTTGCCCCCTTCTGGAGTGTTTACACACATTTCTTGCACTAATATCCAAATATCTGTGAATGCATACTCCCACAGAGCACCTCATGCCTGGCAGAGAAAAGATGGTTATCCCCATTTCACAAGTGAAGAACTGAGGCAGGTGAAACCTTTGATCAAAACAAGAATGAAACCCCTAGAGAAACAGTCTCCAAAAAAGTGACCTAAACACTAATTGGCCTTTCTTATGCTTCATTACTATCATTGGTAAAGATAAAATAAATTTTACGTGAGTACTGAATCGGTTTAAAGTCACAGAATTTGGAATAATTCTGTATATAATAAATGATGGGGTTTTATTTGTCCTCTCACTTTTATAGCCCTTAAAATGTGTTTCATTTCCAGTTTCGATGTTTTCTAGGCAATTCTGAAAACTGGGACATATATACATATCATGCAAATAATATATATAATGTATTTCATACATATTCAATGAAATATTCTTATGCAAGATAGCAATTCAAGCAACTAGAGATTAAAATAATTTAATTGTACATATATAGAAATAGTATAAGTGGAAGTGAATTGATTTTTATCTATTTTTCTGTGTATTTATGTACTCATGCATATGTATATTCTGACCTTGTAAAAACAAATCTATGAAAATTGGCAGGAGTCTTTTGGATATAGGTGAATGAAATGACATTTGAGGTAATTACAGAAATAAATGGCAACTAATCAGCAACTCATCATAAGAATAAGTTTACATTAAAGATAATGGAAAAATGGCAAAAAAAATAAAGCTAATGTTAAAAAAAAAAGATATTTCCAGT